TTTTTAATAGAATTTTTTGAAATTCTATTGTTTTCAATAATTGAAAAATTAAAAAATATTATAGGAAAACGGGAAATGATACAACAATGAAAATAGGATCATTGGAAAGTGTATAATTTTGTCTTTAATTTGAATATTTCATTATGTAATTGGTGTATGTAGTTATGACATAATTAAATAAAACGTAAAGACGTCAACAAAAAAAATCACCATATTTCTGCTATTAATTAACTAAAATCAATCGAAAATTTTGATTTTATCAACTTTTTTTATGTAATTTTTTTATTTATTCCATATATAGAGCCGCGCGGTTTTCATTATATTTTATTACGCAATTTTTCAATTTTCCCGCACTCGTTTTCTCCGAGTATAATTAGAAACAAAGAGGAGCCAACACTTTTAACTCTAATGCACGAACAACCACTTTAATGCATCTCACTTAATAAGATTTTTTTAAATTTCAATATTTTATACACATAAATGCAATTATTTGTTCATATTTTGTACTTTACAATATAATAAATAAATAATTAAAAAATAATAACGTTTTTTTTTATAAATTTATTTATTTTTATATTCATATTAATTTTGGTACTAAACAACTAAATTTATCTTTACTATAAAGTCCATATTTTTATCTTTAATATACATATTTTTTGATCTAATTATCGTACGTAGTTAATTATTAATGAAATAAAATGTAAAGACGTGAAAACTATTCCATCTTTATTTAAAAGTTATAGCAAAAGATACGCAATATGTTATGTAACCATAAAATATATAAATCATGTTTTAGTTGTCTAGTTATTACGTAACTTTAATAGAACATTTTATGAGAATTTTTAGAAATTCTATTTTTTTCAATAATTGAAAAATTAAAAAAAAATATAGGAAAACCGGAAATGATACAACAATGAAAATAGGATCATTGGAAAGTGTATAATTTTGTCTTTAATTTGAATATTTCATTATGTAATTGTTGTATGTAGTTATGACATAATTAAATAAAACGTAAAATTAAATATTTCTACAATTAATTAACTAAAATCAATGGAAAAAGTTGATTTTATCAACTTTTTTTATGTATTTTTTTTATTTATTCCATATACAAACTATGTAATGTATATAATATAATTAATCGTTTATATTTATTTAATTTACAATATTTATTCATCCATTTGAGATATTCTACCAAAATGTAGAAAAAGATACTATTATAATAATATATTTAAAGATTGTTTGTAACGGTTGTTTTTTAGCAATCCGTGTTTGTTGTTAAGTCGTCCAAAGTGTTTTTAAACATTCATGCCCGGTTTCGAGGATTTTTACAGGCAAGTAAAGTCGAATTACAATAACAGAGCACGGATTCACGTGCTACCTCGATACGACTACTAAGCTCCCGTTTCGTAGCGAGGGCTGCATTTGATGTGAATAATAAAGATCGTTTTCGATCGATGAACATCGAAGAAGCACAAGTTCTTAAACTCAACACGTAATCTTAACAAATAAAAAAAACGCGATATTTTAGTTATATAATCCTAAAATTCATTTCCAAAAGTTCTTCCCCTTCTAAATCCTATATCCATCGTAATCTTAATCTTAGATTCAAGTATCCATAATGTAGCCTATTCTAATTCCTTTTGTCCTTATAATCATGTCCTTTTACAATGGTTGCTTTTTTGCATTAAAGTTGATTGGTTTTATTACATCATTGTTGTTATGTATGAATCTTTTCATTTTATTATATTATACTTAAAATTCACAGGCGGATCCATTCGGCTATTAGTCGCCCTTTCTAGTTATATAATGTAAATAGTTCTTAGCTGCATTTTTTTTTTATATTTTTTCATGTTTATTATATAAGTTTTGTTGATAATTTCACATATTATTCACATTTATTAAAATTACATAATATTATTTTTCATGAATAATATTCCTAAGAATTTTAATAATAATTTACATACATCAAAGGGTTTATTCAAATAATAAAATAATGTATTATATTATTCATATTTACGACATGAATAGTAATTCTATATATTAATTTTTATTATTATTAATAATAACACTAAATAAAAAAAAAGCAAACAAAAAGTTGTTAATTAACTTGAAATAATTATTAGCAAAGTTGTTGACTGGGCGTGATGAACTTCTCTGTTTCTGTGTAGCTCGTAACAAGCGTTTCCATGACCATTGCAGAGGAATTCTTGTTGATTTTGCAAATTAATATTGACGCGCGTCGGCAAACCCAAACCTCCGCAAGTATTAATTGAAAACCGCATTTACAGAAAAAAAGGACGGAAAAACAAAAACAGACGAGGAATAAAAAAAAAAGTTTTTCCAAGCGCGGAAACATCGTTTCTCGATTAAATATTTACATTGATTATTCCTCTTCAACTCACATACAAACGTCACCAGAATAATAAATTCATGTTTTCCGAAAACTTTTGAAGGAATGATACGAATTTAATACATTATTAATAGAAATATTCAGTAAATTACTTTAATTTTCATGAAAATAATACAGTTTCAGTAATTATGTTTTCAGGTTGTTTTCAATTATATCAATTATTTTATTACTTCTTTATTTTTCAAATAATTTAAATTCTTATACGATATTATTACATAATAAATATTTCAGATTTCTAAAGGTATTTAGTCCATTGAATAATCTACTTTTTATACATAAAATAGAGAAATATACAATTTTCCGTTTTATTTCATTACTTATTTACATGACTTAATTTGCCATGCATAACACGTGACATAAACTGGGTTACATAATTACACGGATACTTGCGTAATTACATAGAGTCGAGCTAAATAAAGTGTTTGCTTCATCAAACGCTCTTTTTTTTTAATTAACAAAAAAAAACAGACTTAATGTGTCATGCAAGTTTAAAGCGAATCCGACATGCAAATTAGAGGTTTTACATAATACAACAGTTTGAAGAAAAAAAATGTATGTGCATTTAATTGTCGTTAAAACTGTGGATAAAAAGTAACAAAAACAAACAATTAGAAAAGGTCTCGTAATGTCAGTTGAAAATGGCGGCAAATATGAATAATTGTAGCTATGTACTTTGTGAAATGAGCACTTTGTGTTTACGCACTATTTCCGCCCCAGTTTCCTTAATGAAATAGGGGGGGGCGCACAGCGCCCCATTAGAATTCCTCGGGACGTTTAATTAAAGACAATATGCGCCCGAAAACAAAATATTAATGAAGTATTTATAAAGCGGAATTTACCTGCAACAATGTTAGCGGAAAATTCCTTGAACGATTAACTTCTTTTTTTTTACATCGTCCTACGTTTATTCCCATTTTGTTTGCTGTCAATGAGGTGATATATACAGCGTTCAGAAGTATTTATTCCAGTCGAAAGTCGGGAAATAAAATTTCCCGTTCACGATCCCCCTTAGAGTTTTTCTTTCTTTCCCTCTTCGTTTCTTAGTTGTTTTTTTTTTGGATCCATTCGCTGGGTGTGGCCCGAAGGATTCGCAGGGATAAGTAAGGGAATTTTCCGAGCTCCCATTTATATAAGCACGGAGGAAGGAAGATAACTTGGTGAATGGGTTTCCACTGATTACCCGGAATTATAATGTATGTGGAAAACGGTATAAAAAAAAAGTGCAAAGCCATTCGATTCTCATTGATTTACTACTACTACAATTCGAAGAGCTCAATTATATAAGAAAAAAACTATTCTATAACAGGTTTTTTCGGGAATAGCGTAAGACTTTTAATTGATGAATTGCTAAAACGGAATTATACTTGTTCGAAAACTTATTCTATTTTCATCCCTTGTTTACCAGTTGTTTGTTGCGCCTTCCTCGAACTTATTACATTTCTTCAGACTCGTAAAGTTGTAAGCCCTCATTATAAAGTTTTTCATGTAGGAAAAGCGTAGGCAAAAGAACAGACGATTATTTTATTTTTATTAAAGTTTTACCAGATTTTTTCGGTTAAAATGAAAATAAAAATGCGAAGATATAAGTATAAACTAATTACCGTCTGCAATTTACATTCGTAAAGAATTTGTTACCCGAAAATAAGGAAGGAGGATGAATCGAAGCGAATGCAACGGTAAATCTCTCATTCTCATGGACGATTAAACTGCTTTCGGAATTTCAATAAAATTCCTCGAATCCATTCATTAAAGAATCAAGGATAATACTTTTGTTGTGCGGCATTTCGAAGCCGTTAGCTTCGGATTCGAAACACGTAACTTTTAATAGAATTAACTATGTTTCGGCTCATTAATTCCATAATGGTGTGTACTTCAGATCTGTTGATTGTGGTTCTCTTCAAGATTACAACTTCTTGTTAAATTGTTATTATAATTGAATATAAGCTACTTAAAGAACTTTCAGTAAGAAGCATTAGACACAAATATTTAAATACTTACCAAAATCGCGTTTAAAATTAACACTTTGCGGACGATTGGCGTATATATCCGCCCTAGCAACAATATCTCATTATTATTAATTAAGACATAAAATTTAGTGAAATCAATTTTCAAATTAATATCATTGGAATGTACATATAAATATCATCAAATTGATGAAAAGAGAGAATTAATATCATTTAAAGTAAGGAAAGGTACGTTTGAGTTAGGAAACGTTTCTGTTCTTTAAATACGGCGAAAACCTGTGCAGCGATTTACGTGCTCGTAAACATACGAAATAAAAAAAAATAGAAGAAAAACTGTTGGAAAATCAATTTTTAGTGTGCACATTTCGTGGAAATTTTTCCGTCCGTGCTTGCGAACATAAATTGGGCGCAATTGCATTTAACTTCGGTGCACACACAATGTACGAGAGTAACTCAACAATATTTTTGCGCAAACAATAACTTTGCGCAAACAATAACTTTGCGCAAACACAACAATTTAACAAACGGTATTTTTATGCATTGGACTATAAAAAAATATGTGTGCAATTAACTGAAAACAAATTGAGTAATGTTAATTATTGTATTTTTGTCTACTTATGTTTCAGGGGGAAAGTTAAAAGCGGTGTCAGGTTGTTAGGAGCGACTGCGAGTGATCCGTCTTCGTGGAACATCACCGTAGAGATGAATCCTAGGCACACGGGAGCCATGGTTACGGCGATGCGTAAGGAACCTCTGGAGCCGCCATCCCAGGACGCTCCATCGACTACGTCCTCGCAGGGAGAGTAAGTCATTAGAGTAGACTAGCCTGAAACTAATTTATTTATGTCGAGTGTTAAAGGGATTTAGTTGGGATTTTCGCTTGTTCTGGCATAAACTCGTGGGGCCCGCTTGAACAGACAAGCGGAACGGGGCTTAGCACTACATAATACTGTCTCTATAACGGATTTGGGTTCACCCTCTCCGATCGGAAGACAAAAAGTACAAATCATTTCAGTCGATCCGTTCGAATCGTTTATACCAACATCCCAAGTGTCTGAAAAACTTTCATGCAATTCTTAAATCATTTATTGTAAGCTTAAACATCTATTTACAATACAGTTTTGTTAATTTTATTACTTAACTCTTTGACATTCAATGATGTCAAAAAGATACAAAGTATCTTTTCGTGTTTTTACACTAATAATTATTAAATTTTTAAAGTTGTACAAAAATAAACCAAGCTTAGGTTTTGAAAAGATTAGAAGATTAGAGCAACAATCGTAAACTAGTAAAACCTTTATCCAACTCCTCATTGGGATAATCCAAACATTAAGTTATTTACTGCAAACCCTGGTAATCAACACTTTAGTTTTGTGAAAAATATAGTCAATTTCTACTTTTCTTTGCCTGCTCAACCAATCAATCACTTTTTCGTAATGATAGGACAAGAAATATATAGATTAGCAATCTTTAAGAATTTTTCAATTATTTTCTAATGAAAAACAAATAAATACCTAAAGAACTTTAAGAAATCAACGGAAATTTCCGTAAAAAAACGAAACTTGTGTGGGTTTGTATCCAAAATATGCAATATATCAATAGTATTTTATATGTATGTGACATGAATATACTGGTAAACAATATAATATAATATGCATGAATTAGTACAGTGAATCGACAATCCGCTGCAGGGGATAATGAAATGTGGACGTCGATCCGAATAGTAATTATTAACAATAATACGGGGGGCGATTCGTAATTGCGTTTCGAATTAAATTAACATCCATGGAAACGAGGATACATAATAAAAAAATTGAATGCATCTAAACCACCGGATAATCACTGAACGAAAAACGTGTTTCGATTCCCATAATTTTACGAACCGGAAAATTTAATAATCGTATTTATAAATAATAAATTTTAATATATCGAATGAACGATTTTAATTGTAATTATCTATATTAAATTCATGTAAATTATAACAGTACAATTATTTTTAAATTAATATACAATTTAAACTGTTTATTATAGTAGATTTTAAGATTTGTGTGTACTCACCTTTATGTTTAGTGATGTGATCAAATTTAGTAAAAACTAATTTTTTGAATATCGTCTGCAAAAGTTATACAAATACAAAAAAAATAATAATTCTAATTAATTAAAACAATTAAAAAAATGTCATAGAAAATGTGTTATTTTTAGGTCATAAATATAATTGTGATTTTAATTGTAATTATCTATATTAAATTTATGTAATTTATAACAGTACAATTATTTTTAAATTAATACACAATTTAAACTGTTTATTATAGTAGATTTTAAGATTGGTGTGTACTCACCTTTATGTTTAGTGATGTGATAAAATTTTGTAAAAACTAATTTTTTTAATATTGTCTGCAAAAGTTATACAAATACAAAAAAGTAATAATTCTAATTATTTAAAACAATTAAAAAAATGTCATAGAAAATGTGTTATTTTTAGGTCATAAATATAATTGTAATTTTAATTGTAATTATCTATATTAAATTTATGTTATTTATAACAGTACAATTATTTTTAAATTAATACACAATTTAAACTGTTTATTAAAGTAGATTTTATGATTGGTGTGTACTCACCTTTATGTTTAGTGATGTGATAAAATTTTGTAAAAACTAATTTTTTGAATATCGTCTGCAAAAGTTATACAAATACAAAAAAGTAATAATTCTAATTATTTAAAATAATTTAAAAAATGTCATAGAAAATGTGTTATTTTTAGGTCATAAATATACCAAAAAAAAAACTGATTTACAAATTTTATTAGAATATAATATTAAGATTAAGAAATATGCGCTTAGTTAATGTGTAAGCACATTTATATATAGTACCTGATTTTGTTTTCATTCGCATTCTATTCTAATTTAATTGTAAAGGTTGACTTTCTACCTATTTCAGTATTTGATAGTGCACTTTTCAGTAAGAGTAAAGCAATCTTGGTGAGAGGTATTTATGTTATTTATATAGTGTATTTTGGGTCAAAGTGACCCTTCTGTAGCAAATACTTCCTGATGTAACAATATTTGAAATTCACATTGTAATAAGTTTGGTTGCCTACTAATACAATTAATGAAAACAGCAACGTTTTGTGACATATCGAAAAGACCAATTTGTTCTAATTGTTTAATATTTAAAAATTTGGTCATTTTGACCCATATGAAGTACTTGTGTTTTATATATTTGTCCATAATAGTTACGAGTTAAATAGTTATACTTCTAAAGTAAATAATGTATAGATTTTTTGATTAATCATTATGTGACTTGTTATCAAATGATGTGTTAGGAAACGCCATTAGTTTAGACTCCAAATAATGTATATCCTCGTAACGGAGAACATTGAATTCACGTCATCAATAAATATGCCGGTACATTGATGCATTGCAACAATTCCGTGTCGGAATTGCTAGATTTCCAATTAAGCGCGTATTCGGAATGCAGCTTCCCATATCATTTCCGGACTAATATAAATACGGTAATAGCCTATGTCCATTAGGGGTTTGCATTCTTTTGATGGTTGTTGTTGTTGTTCCGACTGCTGTTTCTGCCGTTGTTATATGGTGTTAAGCCTGGACGAACGAGATGCAGACGACGCGAAACGCGGATCATTGGATTGTACGCTAATTTGCATATCGCCGGATTTCGGATCGATATGGTTTTGAAAGGGACGTGTGTATATGTTGTGTACGTATTGGCTTCACGATTTTCCACCCCGATGCGAACGTGCATTAAGCCCTCCACTCCCACCATGTTGCGAAATCAATTTGCGGACCAAGTTAACCACGTAAGTGGACTAATTGCGTTCACTTACCTCGGCGCTCAATCACAAAGGGTTCATTCACACCTGTGACATATTTTTGGTTAATAGTGCAAACCTATTACTTCGTAATAGGTCAAATCGAGAACGTGTTTGATTTGAATTGTCTGCAAATCTGATATTAGGATCATTGAAAAGAGCATAGCTTTATCTCTAATATTCTAATTAGCGAGAATAATTATGAAGTAATTAAATGAAAGGTGAATACATTATAACAAATCGTAAAATTACGTAAGATTATAATTTAAGACTCTATTAGTTTCTTAAATTAAACATTCTAATTTCAATGCAATTTTAAAAGTATGTTAAAAATAAGTTATATAACTTTAATAATAATAAATAATAATAGTTATATTAAATATTAATATAGACTTAATTTTGTAAAACATTCAATGAATTTTATATAAACAAATTTAATGTGTAAAGGATATGGCGAATATATCCGCCGCTTGTCCATCGTGAATCCTTTAATTTTTTACTTATTTAAGACTCTATTAGTTTCTTAAATTAAACATTCTAATTTCAATGCAATTTTAAAAGTATGTTAAAAATAAGTTATATAACTTTAATAATAAGTGTTACAAAAGTTGAAAAACTATAAAATTCTGATTGATTTACTTGCAGATCTGACTAGGTATTGATTCTCTGTCTGAAGGTTTTGTAGCCTGCTAAAATAATCACGTAACATTAAATACTTATGTACATGAAATGTGTGCGCCTGTTCGAAGTGTGCACTTAGTGAACGTGTACTAATATAGACAAACATTCGTGCACCTGTGCCTCTCTGACTGATAGACACATCAAGCGTCGAAGGGCTTAAAGGGTCTCTACAAGCATTTCTATACACATTACCGTTCCGAGCCAAAATTAAGCTGCATAAATTCCTAACGTAATCCACGAACTCCTATATTTTTCATCCCCGGCAAAAAGCGACTCATTACATAATTCATTTCGTCCATCGAATGATTATTAATGGATGGTTAAAAAATTTCTTAAAATACAAAAAAACGCAGCGAAAAATCCAAGCATTATAATTAATGATGCATTAATTAAAGAATGAATTTCATTTATTGTAGTTTCGAAAATTAATTACTGAAATAATCTTGAAAGTTGTAATTTAAAATTGATGAAAAGACAAAATTAATTTTGAAAGTGAGATGTGAAAAATTGTTATACGTAGAAGGAAAACTAATAAAGTTAAGGAATATTTATGGACACCTGGACGTGGAGGTGTTTCTGAAATATTAGAAAAGTTGTAAACTTAGTTGTAGTGAGATTGCTTAGTTCATAAGTGGACAAAGAAACTTTCAGACTGCATTACAAATTGCACTTGATATTTTACAGCTAAGATACAAACAAATTCCGAATCGATTGCAACGCTAAGTGCTAAAACTACTTAGAAATCAAAGTTTGTAATCGAACAATATCTGTTTAGAATTTAATAACAGGCTTTCAATTTATCTGCACTAATGTATATAGTATTAGTATTCTAGTTCTTCACGGATGGATGAAATTTAAAGAGACTTTGAGGACGAGAAATTATAAGTTCCGGTATGGCGGGTAATTCGAAACTAGCGAAGTTTCTATACTGTTAGTGTGGTCTGAAGAAGCGAACTTTGCAGAGACGGGTTGCGAATATTTCATCGGTTCGCAGTTCTTGCTAGAATAGATTATGCCTACCACCATCGATTCGCTAATGGAGGGTAATAGCTTTCCGGAATATATCCAAACTTTTCCATTGACATTACACTACAATGCTATTACGTTATAAATAATCCAATACTACTATTTCAGTGCACTGCTAATGGATTAGCTTTGAATTGCGCTTTTGATGTATTAATGGGGACAATCGTTTAGTCCTCTTTAATTATTCACAATCATTTAGTTTTGATGCATTTAACTTCGTATTTTAACGCTCTTTGATAAAAAAAAATATTATTACAATTAAA